CACTGAATGTGATTCTTAATCAGGGAAGTTAATTAACTTTTGAACACCCAAGGACTTAATTTTAATCAGCAAGAAATTTGGTTTGGAGGATCAACACAGCCGGACACCGCCGGGATTGGAAAAACGACGCACAGGGGAAGGAGCTTGCTCTATTTCAAGTAGAGCAGGCTCAACTAAAAAGTGGAGCAGGCTCTACTTTGTAGTAGAGCCGGCTCTACTTGGTAGTGGAGGCGGCTCCACTTTGTGTGGAGCCGGCTCCTTCAACGGTTTTCAGTTTTTGGCCTTTTCAGTGGTGGTTTTGGCTACAGGTTTCAGAATTTGGTGTTTTCAGATGCTATTAGGAACTATGCAGGGATGTTCCAGTAGCATCTAAGTCCTATTAAAATTTTGAGGGTGTGTTAATACATAATAAATTACAAAGAGGTCGGTAGTTTTAAACCGTTGTATTTTCAAGTGAACTTGTGGACTGTTTTGGAGGCAGAGGATTTTAAGTGCATAACCCTATGAGTTGCAATTTTGTCTGGGAATGAGAATATTGTTTAAGCATGTTTCTGTGATTTAAATTAAGCATATTAGATTACAGAATGATTATAATCGGAATAAGTGTCAGTAAGTCACTTTTAAAGAAGTTTACATGGTTAAGATTTTGCAGACGATTCAAGTTGTTAAATTCTAAGTTAGCAATTGAATTAGGGGTTTATGGTTAAATCATGTAACAATGGTATGGGTTTAAACAGGTCAGTTTATATAAATTCTGTTATCATATAATCAGAAGTTAGTTGATGTTTACAAAGAGTTCTTTATATCAACTTATTGGATGTTGTGGAGTTGGTATCAATAAGCATGTTAATTCTGTTATTATTATTATGCTTGTTGTGAGTTACAGGGTGATTATATTTATTCTCTGTATTTAAAACTTGTTAGAGAATCAGGTATTGGATGTATTGAACAAGCATGCTAGTTAAACATTCTTGTTAAGCTTGTGATTGGATATGTTGATATTGATATGCTATGCCATTATATATATATTTTCAATACTGGATGGATGGTTTGTATGCACCGGTATGGGACGGTGTCATACTAGGGGGATTAGCTCAAAAAAATGCTAAGTGCTACCTACTCTGGATTAAGGGATGGATTAACTACAAAAGTTAAGTCCTACCTGTCTTCTGTGTCAAATCAATGAATAGTTGAGTGACACTTTGGTTTGGAATGGAATTTAAATATATTTTTATGATGCCACGATATGAGCCTGAGACTCAGAGTCGTTGGTTAGGGAGCGTATATGCATTGGGATGCATAACTGGCTATGATGGTTGGATGTGTACCCTGCTAGGGCTAGGTAGTCATGCCTACCATTGGGTGCGTTTTCGCATGGTGCCTACTAGTCAGGTTGAGACAGGCCTGTAGTCCAGTGAGAGTCCTGTAGTGTGATTATATATATATATATATTTATCTACGGACTACTAGCTATTGTTGGATTGGTTAGGATGTACATGCGTATCGGGTCTCTGCTTGGGTAGTAGTAGTATAGAACTTGCTAGTTGGCCTGACCCACTTATTAATTTTCAAGTGTTGGATGGTTGAGGTCTTAGAGCTTGTTCGAGCTGAGCAGAGACGAACTTTCATTCTACCGACGATGTAGGACTTCTTTCCTGATATTCGATTTGGGCTTTTATCTTCAGTTATTTATTTTCGCTCGGTTTGGATTTTTATTAGGGGTCCACTGGAGATGGATTCCCGAGTTGTAAACTTATGAAGTTTGGATTGTCAGAGTTTAAATATTTATATTTGAGGATTTTTAATTTAGTATTCCTTCAGCTTATTATTATTTTTTAAATTCATTTTGTATTCTGTGTTCGATTAAATATTAATTGTTTGATATCCTTCAAATCTGTGCTCGGACTTGATCACCCGTGGCTCTAGAATCGAGGGTTATCACAGCATCCCCCGACTATGACCCTGATTTCTCCTCTTGGTTGTTGATCAGGGAGGCGGTTATCTTGGCCTGCTCTTGGTAGCTTAACGTCGGTTCTGTCATTCCCCACAATAAATTTTCGCATGTGCCCCTTTCGGATCAAAGTCTTAATCTGATCCTTGAGGTCAAAACAATCCTCTGTGGCATGCCCATAGTCTTTATGGAACCTACAGTACTTATCACGAGGTCTCCTTGCCGGGTCTGACTTCAATTTTGGTGGCCACTTTAGATATGGTTCATCCTGGATCTGCAGAAAAACTTGATCATAGCGAGACGCCCTTTCATTCTGGTTGATCATAGGTTTCTTATACTTGGTTTCCTTTTCATCTTTGGTTATCAGAGCCGGCCTTTTCTTGTCTGCCTTCTTATTATCCCCTTCTTTCCCCTTTCTTGCCATCATTGCATCTTCAGCATTCATATGTTTTTAGCTCGAACCAGTAACTCGGCCATACTGGTAGGGGGTTCTTCTGATAAAGAGAAGAGAAATCTCGAGGTTTGGAGTCTTCCCATAAAAGCGGCTAAAGCCACCTTGTCATCCGCTTCCTCCACCTGCAATATTTCCGTATTGAAACAACTAATGTAGTCTCGCGGTGACTCTCCTTTCTGCTGCTTTACAGTAAGAAGGTAGGTAGCCGGCCTTCTATGCTTCTGGCCAGTAATGAAGTGTCCCACGAAATGCTTACTTAATTCTTAAAAGGTTTCGATGGTCCCTGGCTTCAGCTTGTTAAACCACACTCGTGCTGATCCTTTAAGAGTTGTTGGGAAAGCCCTGCACATGATCTCATCTGGCATCGCGTGCAAATGCATTAGCATTTGAAAAGTTTCCAAGTTGTCGATGGGATCTTTAGTTCCGTCGAAACTCTCAATTGAGAGCATTCTAAATTTGCTCGGCAAGGGGCATTTCATAACCGAGGGGCTGAACGGCAAGTTGGTCTTCTGCACCAAACTATCTATGACTGTAATATGGCCTGCATCATATCCTCCATCTTTGCCATGAGATCTTGTATCTCTGGGTCAACATGGGAAATCTCCTCTATCTTTTCAACGACAGTTGTGTTTTCATGAGGTCGGGAACTCTGTGGAAGAGATGGGTGGATCACTTCTCTATGTCGGTTCCCTACCTGGCTTTGTTCCACTTCGGTCTCATGTCGAGGAGGATGATTATCCTACCCTTCAGGATTCCCATTACCTCTATTCGAGTTCGAAAGATCTTGTCGTGGCAAATTCTGTTGAACCGGTGGAACAAGGTGTTGCAGGATTGCAGCATTTTGCTGGATCAACTGGTACATACCCTGATTAAGAGTTAGGACCTGTTGTTCCAACGTTGCAAGCCGCTCCTAGTCATTTGGGATGTCTAGGTTTTCACCCGACTCTTCCCTTTGACCAGATCCCTGTAACGATGTTCCTTCGGTGACTATACCGGATCGCAAACGTATTTACCCAACTAAGTATTAATATAAGGGAATTGTCGTTCCCATAGACGGCACCAACTGTTGAGACTGAAATTCGCCGCGACCCGGTACGACACCGTTTTCTGCAAAACCAAAACGGTAAAGTCAAACACCGGTGTGGTGCCGACCGTTGACCCTCCGACGATCAAGTTAGTAGGAGAGAAATAATTTTTTATCGTAATTTCCCTAGTAGGGAGATCTTTTTATATGTACCTTATTCCCGAGTCGTCTTCGTATTTATAGCCACTTACCTTATTCTTGATAAGGGAATTTCATCGTCCTTAGCCCATAGAGTTTATCCCATAGAAATCTTATCCTTGATAAAATTTGAACTTACCCCATGACAAATCTTATCCTTGATACGATTTGTCATCATTCTCATCCAATAGAAATGGTTATCTTTGATAACGAGATATTCGCTTGAAAGTTGAAGAGGTCTGGCGGCTAGTCAATACTTAATTACCTCTGTCATTAGGTCAAGATAAGTTAGGGTTATTTTTCCCTATCACTACCCACCAGCGACCCAGCACCACCAGATGGCCACCGCCACCACTCCTTCCTCCGTTGCCTCATTGCTGGCAACGCAACTGCATAAACCCCCAATATCAATTGTGTACGGTGTTTTTGCTTTTGATTTGTTCTTCAAAAGTGCGATAGATCTAAAAATTAGAAGAGAAAAGAGGGGAGAGGAGAGAGTGGGAAGGGGCTTCAAATGTGTCCCTTCATTGGGTAGTAATGGTGAATCTATTTGCACATGTGTTTAAGATGAAATTTATATCTTGGGTGGGGATGAAAATTTGTAGGCGGAGGAGGAAGACAACGAATTTGACAAATTTTCTGGCCTAACAACTACAACAACGTTCGCCGGAACTGTAGCAGTGGACTATCTTGGAGCTTCTAGTTGATGAAAAATAAACACCAATCTATAATTATATATATATAGATATGCAGCCGTTATTGGTTTAGAAAGACACAGAATTTGGAGGAAATCAGCCGATTAATGGGTAAGGAGAGGGAGGAGTATAATTTTTTTCAAAAATTTTTTATTTGGTATGGCGTGGCTAACAGTGTTGATGGAGATTGATACTTCAAGTTGCACACGGTCATGACGGAAATGGGTTTGAATGGGGTATAAAGGAGATGGTTTGAATGAAAATGGTTACAAAGGAGATGGATAATATTGTCAAATAAAAAATTACTAAATAGTTAAATGACTTTTAGAAAGTACCAAACATCTTTTGTGCTAAATTCCTTTTGACAAAATTGCTTGTAGGAAGGAATTATCAATGAAAAGGCTTTTGGTGTTAAAAAGCTCCCCCAAACACCACATAAGACTTTTTAAAAGTCCGTTTTTAAAAAATTTATCTGCTCTTTATTAGTGGCAAAGGGCTTTCTAAGCTTAAAAAGACTTTCTAAACTTAGAAGCCTGTTTTGAGACGACGTAATGCCCAGCCAAACAGGCCTAATTGGAGCAGACAGTCATCATGCTTTATTAATGAGGTGTCAAAGACTCAAAATCAGAGCATAATATAGTTATTAGCACAAATAAAACTGATTACTGTATGTATAATCATTATTGGATCAGCCAAAAAGAGATTTTGGAAGAGAGAATGTCTGGCGTCCAAAGACCGTGGTCCGATACAACACCACTCCTGGCCCACCACCACCAACAACCACCACACCGCTTTTCGCTAGACTCCAATCGACTCTCGTCCGTCGAAATGACGACCGCCCCGGCCTCCCTCCGTTCTGTTTTTCTCGGCGTCGATGTTGGCACTGGCAGCGCTCGTGCAGGTTCGGTCAATTTTATCCTCCCCTCTCTCTATATATATCTATATGAGTATGTTTTTTTGTACATGAATAAGGGTTTTTGCTATGCCAGTGTGATTCATGACTTCGATTTTTTCTGTTGGTCTGCTATTGATTTTATCGAAATGATTGATTGATTGATGTACGTCGATGACACTGTTTTGTGTTTCTGGATGGTGTTGCTGTTACATTTTTGAGAGGTTATTATTGCTTTTCTTAGTTTTTCGTTCTTTTTTTTTTTTTCAAGATTTTTTCGGTTTAGTTCATTGTGCTTATGCATTATGTTTCATATGCTGTATATAACGCCTTGTAAGTTTGAAATATCAATTCATTTCAGCAGAAGAACGGTAATGACAATACTCGACTCCAAAACAGTGAGAAGGAATTTCCCTCTGTTCTATTTATCTTATTTTCTTTATGTAAATTGCTCAGTTTTTTTTTAATTTCTCCACTCTCCAGCATGCGTTGCTATGTGTTTTTATTTTTAATTTTTCCTAAATATGTGTTTTTATTTTTATTCCTCTAATATTGAATGAGAGTTTTTGCTAAATTGGCCGTTATTTTTCTCTGTTAAGTGCACCTAGAGAGTCAATCTGTAACTCATTGGAAGTGTTTTGTCAGTACTGTATGTGAATCTGGTTCAATTTTTTGCATCAGTTTTCCTAAATATAGTATTTCAAAGATACTGCAATTAACACTTGCTATGTTCACGCACTTGCATTTGGTTATTTGGATTGTTCTTTACTTGCATGTACAGATATCCGCACCCATGTTCATACAAACTCATTAGATGCTGCAAATTGTCCTTACATATTGCTGCTTTATGCAGGTCTTTTTGATGAGAATGGGAAACTTGTAGGTTCTGCCAGTAGCCCAATACAGATTTGGAAGGAAGGTGACTGTGTTGAGGTGAAAAAATTAGAACATTGTTAGTGCTAAAATTACATCATCAAAGGGCAATCTAAATATTTTGGCCTTCAAATATTAACTTAGGCAGTAAAATCTATTGTTTGGTGGCCATGCCTCATAAAATTACATTATTCTTACGCTACGGGAACCTTTGGCATCTAACATGCTTATAGCATGCGTCATACGTTATAGTTGTCAAGCAAGAAAAGCTGTTTGAAAATTTTGTTTTGATGATTATTGACATATCGTTTGATTTTGTTCTTAAATTCCCTTCCCCCCCCCCCCCCCCCCCCCCCCCCAATCCAGCAATCTTCAACCGATATTTGGCATGCAATCTGTGCTGCTGTTAAGGCAGCATGCTCCATTGCAAATGTTTCTGGCGAAGAAGTAAAGGGTTTGGGATTTGCAGCTACTTGTTCCCTTGGTTCGAAATTTCTCCCATCTTTACAAGCATTACTCTACTAGGGGAACTTTATCACTTTGGTTGCTTAAACAATTTAGCATGGAACATGTAGCCAATTATAATGCACACGAATTGAATTTTGTGTGCAGTTGCTGTGGATTCTGATGGCTCACCTGTTACTGTTTCCTGGAGTGGTGATACACGAAGAAACATCATAGTGTGGATGGACCATAGAGCTGTAAAGCAAGCTGAGAGGATCAATTCCTTTAATTCACCAGTATTACAGTATTGTGGTGGAGCTCTTTCCCCTGAGATGCAGCCACCAAAGGTAGTTAAGCAGCTAGTAAGATACTCTAATGTTTTCTCGTACTGTACTTTCTTATTGTATTTCTTTAAACATAATCTGCAAAATTCATTCAGTCCAGATCATATTACCTGAATTTCAGCTAGTTAGATATATGTCTTTTAGAGATTTGGAATGTGCATCTATTAGAATTTGCCTTTATATGGATCAATACTTGGTTAAGTAATTCCCAATTGCGTAATGAGGATTTATACTTCATTCTTTTTTTTTAATGTTGAAGACCTAGTTTTTGTGATGGAGAATGGCACCAGTGTTTGTGTTCATAAAATTTATTGCATTTCAGTTATAAGGAGGTCACTACATCAAAGAAGTCAACTCTGTGCTGGATGCTATCATCTATGACGTTCATTATTTAAAGTTTTAAAGTTATTAGAAGAAATATTTGGGCATTAAACATGCTTAAAGGATGTCCTTTTTTCTAGGCATTTTTCTTGTGCTCTTCTTATCTTTTGCTGTCTAATCTTTGTTTAGAATGTGTGGTTTTGGACTTGAAATTCTATTATTATTCCTCAACAAGACTAAGTTGCGCTATTTAATTATGCAAGATGGATCTTTTTTTATCAAAGAAGGAAAAATAAAAAGGGAAAAACGATATAAGATGGATCTAGAAGAATCACCTTAGTCATAATGCACAGAATGTAGACCACCATAGTCAGGATGCATGGAATGTAAAATTAGAAAGAAACTACAATAGGGAGAACTCATAGTTGATTAATTTTAAAATTGAACCTTCTAATAAGTGCGAAATTGAAGTTTTGATTTTCTGACCCTGTCCTTGACGACGACGACAACAACAACTAAGCCTTTTCCCAATTACTTGGGGTCGGCTACATGTTTTTTTGTTTCCATTCCACTTTATTTAAGGCTATAGCTTTTAGTCAATCCACATGCTATCATATCTTTCTCTACTAACTCTACCCACGCTAACTTTGGTCTTCCTCTTTCCCTAACATTACCCTCAATGTGGACTATGTCACTTTTCCTAACCGGAGCACTTACAAAACTTCTTTGCACATGTCCAAACCATTCTAACCGATTTAGTCTCATTTTATCTCCAATTGGTGCTACTCCATCCATTCCCTGAATGTGATTATTTTTTATTCTATCATTTCTAGTCTTACTGCACATCCATCTTAACATTCGCATTTCAGCCACACTCACTTTATGCAAATGTTGTTTCCTAGCTGCCCAACATTTGGTACCATAAAGTATGGCTGGTCTAATTGCTGTTCGATAGAAATCCCTTTTCAATTGTAAAGGATGCACCTGTCACATAATATACTAGATGCACTCCTATTTAACTCATCCTGCCTTGATTCTCTGATAATGTCATCTCCAATTACGCCCTTATTATGAATAATTGAGCCTAACTAATGAAAATGTTCACTTTTTTGTACATCTTGATTTTCAATCATCACTACATCCTCATTTGTCTTTATAGATTTACTAAAATTATGCTCCATATATTCAGTTTTATTTCGATTTATCTTAAACCCTTTTAGTTCTAAATTTCTCTCCAAACCTCAAATTTGACATTAACTCCTTCTCTAGTCTCATCAACTAAAACAATATCATCGACAAATAATATGCACCTCGGAATCTCATCTTGGATGTGGCAACAAGGTATGGACTTAATGCTGACCTTTTGTGTAAGCCTACAATAATTGGGAGTTCACTTGTTTCCCCTACATGTGTTCTAACCATAGTCAAACATTTATTGTGTCAATTTATCCCTTTGCGACTCCTTTTTTTTTTTTTTTTTTTTTTCTTTCTTCTAAAACCCTCTATATTAGGTCTCTAGGTACCCTATCATAGGCTTTCTCCAAATCAATTAAAATGATACGGAGATCTCTCTTCTTCTCCTTATACCTTTTCATTAGTCTTCTCAATAAGGAAATAGCCTCCATCGTTGATTTACCCTGCGTGAATCCAAATTGATTCTCTTACATTTCTGTCTCTTGTCTTAGGTGTTGTTCAATCACTCCCTCCCAAAATTTCAGTGTGACTCATTAATAAAAAACCACAGTTATTATTACAACTTTGTACGTCCCTTTTATGGGTTGTATAGAATACTTTGGTGCCACTCATCTGGCATCCTTTTTTGTTATTATCTTATTGAACAAATTTGTTAACCAAGACAAGCCAACTTCTCTTAGACATTTCCACACCTCGATAGGAATGCCATTGGGTCCTAAAGCCTCCCCGATTTCATCTTTTGTAAGGCATTCCTAACCTCCTATTCCTTGACCCCGTGGAAAATATGTTCTCTCTAACATATTCTTCCAAGCTTAGACTTCCTATGGTTTTCATTTAGCAATTTCTCAAAATAACTTTTCCATCTTTCTTTAATTTCACCATCCTTTACTAAAACCCATGAATCTTCACTCTTAATACATTTAATAAGGCTAAAATCTCTAATCTTTCTCTCCCTTAGCTTAGCAAGTTTATGTATTTTCTTCTCCCCATCTTTTGTGCCTAGTTTAGAATAGAAATCGTCGTATACTCTATATTTAGACTCACTTACTACTTTCTGAACTTATTTATTTACCTTTTTATATTTGTCAATGGATCTAAATCAAGAAGCCTATGTTGTGATGTTAGACTCTCTCTAGGAATAACCTTACAATCTTTCCTTGTTATATATCTACCTTTCTAGTTAAAAAGTAATAAAGGCTCATATTTGATCCACCTTTAAAGGTTATTAGTTGTTCATCTCTCTTTATAGAAGAGGTATTCCTAATTATAAGATTATATGCTACCGCAAAAATCTAAGATAGTCGCCCCGACATGTCTTACTCCAAATCCATGTCCACCATATACCATCTCATATCCACCACACTTTTTTCCTACATGACCATTAAAGTCTCCTATATACACTTTTTCACCTTCGGGGTATCCCTTGCATGAATTCGTCCATATGTTCCCAAAATTGTGTTTTAATATTGTTATCTAGTCCTACTTGGGGTGCATACGCTCTAACTATATTGACTATATTTCCTCCTGATACGATTTTTAATAATACTATCCCATCTTCTTTTCTAATAATGGTTGTCACATCTTCTTTTGAATTCTCATCACTGATTATCCCTACTCCATTTCTATGTCTATTGTTTTCGGAATAATATAATTTATATTTTTCAAGCTCTCTAGCTTTTGCACCTACCCACTTAGTTTCTTGTAGACATAAAATATTAATCTTCCTTCTGAACATAGTGTCTACTAACTCCATTCCTTTACCCGTCAAGGTTCCAATGTTCCAATTCCCTATCTTAAGCCTACTATCCCGGGCTTAACTTCTTTACCCGTACTTGTCCAAAAAAATGTGGGAACCCTTGCCTATTTTTTATCCAGTGTTGTTAAAGGTGCGCCTAGGCTTAGGCACAGGTCTAGCGCCTGTTGTCATTCTAGGTTCACTGATGTTTACTAGGCGCTGTAATGTTTCTGATTTTCCTTATTTTCAATTTTCTAGGTTTTTTGATTTTTCTAGATTATTTTTCGTTTTTTCTCGTTTTGCGTGCTGGACATCTTGGGGTGTGCCGGATTTGACCGAGAGTTGGTTGGAGCATTTCCTTGAGTTTAGGACTCTTGGAAATGCACTGGTTTCCATTTTGGCATTTTTCTGTTTTTTTGGACCGGAAGGTCCTGGATGGGACCCGTTACCGGATTTATTGTATACTGAAGTTGCGTCACGGGTCCATTGCATTTCATGCATTGTTATTTTTGCACAATTTCATGGTGGTGTATTAATTTGTGTGGTTATATAATGTTTATTGTGTATTTACAATAATAATGATAAAAAAAATATTTTTATAATGCATGGGACCCACCACTATGAAAGTCGTTACTTTCATTTCATCCCAGACTTCCATTTTCTCTCATCTCTATGACGTTCTCTCTCTCTCTGTCTCGGTAATTCTTTCTTTCTTTTTTTCTTTTTTTAACTTATCAAAAAAAAAAAAAATTTCTTTTTTTTCTTTTTTCATTTCACCATTTCAAGGCTTGATTAAGCCTTGCCCTTTGGGAATTTGATGGTACTCCCTTAAGCAAAGTCAGAGAGCTCGTCGAGGCCGTCGTTTTGATTGGAGCCAATCACCATTTGGCCACCCTTAAGGATTTCGAAATTAGGGCATGGATTTGGGGATTTTTGGGATTTTCTTCAATTAAGAGGTAGGGGTTTCTAATTCACATTTTTCTTAGATTTTTGTGAATTATTCTTCATGAATTGTTGTATAGTATGCTTAATTCATTCGGATCCTTGCAAAAATGATTTATTTGTCGTATATGTGATATGTAATTATGTATTAGTTGTCATTTTATGAGAAAACATGCCTTAAATGATTATATTCCATGCCTCATGTATTTGAGTTGCCGGAGATATAGTAAGAAGCATGATATGTGTATTATATAATTTTTCACCCAATTATGTTTATGATTAAGAATTCAAATGTACAAAGAATTATGATGTTTAAGTGGCATGGTGCATTTATGCATTTTCATTGGGCGTGGAATGGGGGAAAAGTTGTTTTAAAAAGGCAATGGAATTATTTTGGGAAAACGTTTTTGGAAAGTGTTTATGAAAACCGGACGCCTAGTGGTCCGTGGTGTTAATGTGATTTAGAGGGAAATAGAGAGAGACTCTAGTGTGGTTGAGCTACCTAGGCCAGACGACGCCATGGAGATGCCATGTGGTCGGGGAAAGCTAGCCAACCCTTCCCTCATAACGCCATAGGGGTGCTATGGGTCGGGTTGCATTAACGGTTTGGAACGGTGAAAATGAATTGTTTTGGAAAATAGTGAACGACATTGGCATGACATTGCACTTCATTTGCATATTTGGTGTATTTGTGTTACAATGACAATTGTTTATAAGCTTGTAGTTGTGGTTGTTGATGTGCATTCCCTATGATATGATCCCGTCTACTTTTTGCCTATTCGTTGCGTGGATTCATGGGGTCATAAGAGGT